TGATGCCTTTTTTCAGAATATACAATGATTTTGCACTGGGTTCTTAGTGGACAGGAAACTACTTTAAATACTGGTAAGTTACCCACCAAAAACTGAAAATAGAAAAAAATTTAAAATAGAGCACTTTGCAAGTGGACTACTCATATATAAACAGTAAATATCGCTCGTTTGTTGTCATGATAAAAAACATTTAAAGCTATACCCAGAATTGCAGCGGATGACGGTAAAGCGGTTAACCGCTGTCAAAATTAAAACTCACAATTCGTCCACCATTGGGGTTTTTTGACGTTTTCTAGCGTTTTGAGTATCTCTATCTAAATGATTCAAATGTCAAATAAATTCCAAATAAGCAAATGAAAATTTATGATTTGAAAATTTATTAGGACTGGCTCTAAATGCAATAACAGCCTTTTCCAACCCATTGAAAATATCGCGGCATGGAGTTTTTAAAGCCTATTTCAAAAATTTTACAGGAGACGAAAAAATTGATTATAACCATTTTCTTCAAGTATTTTGCAAAACTTTGAATACATTATTTTGCGTGTTCAAAGCAAAGCAAAACTCCATACGAATCAGAGAGATTCGATCTTTATTAAAAAATTTCGTACTATTTTGGCCTTATCGGATTTTCGGTGCTTCTTTGGGATTAAGCAAAATTTTCTTTTATTGAATATAAACGAGAATAAATAAAACAAATACATGTATCCTTTTCGAAACAATGCATTTAGATTTCTCTAGCCTCCTGTATCAAAATACGAGTTTTCCTAAAAAGTGGGCTTAGCAACTTTTCACTCCAAGCTAGCGAAATACAGAATTGCCTTAACAAGTACTGTAAAGTGTTTCTTGTACAACAAAGTTAGTTGTACTGTAATTTGATCATCTTGAGAGTTTGTCCAGTGAAACGAACCTGAAGGATTCACCAATTAACTCAAGGATAATGGTAAAAATAAGTAATAAAGTAAATAACGTATGGAGAAATTTATATGAACACGGTTCAAAGATGCTCTGGAATTTTCCTCAGGCATAACAGAACACAGGTATCCTGGTTTTGTAACATCATAAAATTCCCCAAATACTGGATCGCAGTCCTTGGCCAGTTATAAATCTAAGTCGTTCGGAATAAGTAGACCTGACTATCGTGAGAACGAGGAAAAGGGAATCCTTCCGTTTTCTTACCTTTTCAGTCCAACGCACTTGACCTTCATAAAGCGGTAAATTTACGGTACAGCTGTGGGCATATTATACCTGACTTATGTAGGCCTTCGAAGGTATTGTAAAGAATATTCTTGTTATATTCGGCTTAAACCACCTTCGTAAACCATAACTAAATCCACTAAGATCCAATGCATACCATGATGCTCCTGAACCGAAAATAAATGAAACATTTTTCCACCTCGCATTTTTTCGTAGACCTTGATTGCTTAAATGTCTAGATTATAAAACTTCAAAAACAAAAATCGTAGAACGTAGATCTTTTCGAGAAATTCTAGTTTAAATATCTTTGCAAAGAGCTTAAAAAAATTTATTATAGGAAATACATAAAACAAATATATATTTTCAGTCCGATGTTCTTTATTTGACTCACTTTGTCGTTTTCTCAAGTAACTTTTAAATTTTATTTGCCCGTCAAACATATTTTTTAGAACAAAATTTGTATTTGAACGCAACATAAAATTTGGTGCAATTCGGTAGCCCAATCATGTGATGCAAAAATATTGGGCTTTAGGCCCAATCTTGACAGAAACCCGTGTAAAACCGCCGTTAGAGAAGGAAATATTATATTTTGTTTTACACCTTCGAGGTACTCATCTACCGATTCTGATGAAAAGAATCAGGAGTTTATGCAGATGTTGGCAATTTAGTTTTAACATTCCAAGGGGCTCTCAGACCAATATAATCGAAAAAGTGTTTACAGTCTAGATTGGTATTTGTTTAAAATAATAGTCAGTGAGGAACCCGATAGGCATCTCATCTATACATACAAATACATACATATGCATATTTTTTGTAAATGAAAATTGAGGTTCCTTTCTCGGTATAATTTCGGAGCTACTAAGAAATTTGGTTTTAAGTTTTCCTATAAATTCGCTATAAATTTTGGTGGTGGACTTCAAAATCGTCATTAGCATAAAGGAGTCAAAATTTAAAAGTGTATGAAAAAATTTCGAATTTCGGCAACTGGGCGATTCTAGTATTATATTATTAGGAAGTGGGATAAGTTATGGATAAGAAACAAAATGTCTTGGTCAACGAAATTTACTTGTAAGTATATTAATAAGTGTCGTTATATAGACAACCCCATATAAAACTGGTGCCTTAAATTATTTGGGCCATTTTAATAACAAATGTGACGAGTTCTTGTAACATATTTAATTTTTTGTATTTAAATAGTGTAATTTTAGTTCTTTTGAACAGTCAAAGTCATTAAAATAACAATTTTGACGTGTCACCTTGGGTACCTTTTGTACGTTTTTTGAGTACAACTTGTTCAGCGCAATGCGGAGACATTCATAAGTCGTGGCAAATAGTAAGTGTAATTTTGGAAAATGCATTAGGCGTTGAGAAAAATATGTCCTCCTCATTGGAAGAAAACTGTAACAATTTGAAATCTGTCACTCGCAATTATCGAAATATATTATTTTAAGTTCTTTTCCATTTTGCACTTTCAAGGATTACTAAATTGTTCTTATTTGTTTAAATACATATTAAAGAATAAAATAACAACTTTTACAGCTGTATGTCTTTGAAAATATTGAAAATATAACAAATATTGTCTGAGTAGGTCCTTCCCTGAATGGCTTCAAATTTCTCCTTTTTTTGCTGGCACACTGACAGACACAACTCGTCATAAAGTTCGTTGAAAATGCTAAATACATAAACTAGTTTTTGTCTAAAATACGACGATGAATTTATATATGTGTATGTAAAGGATTTTCAGATCTTTGGGCAGTGCGGTTAACGAATTTTAAATATTTACTAAAAAATTAGATTTTCAATGGATCTTAAGCGAAAATTAGTTTGTATTATATTTGTATCTCAAAAACCACTTCACTAATCTTTACCAAATTTTATATAAACATTGCGCCTGACCTAGAAGTATCGCTAACTTTGAGTTTTCGAAAATTATCGTGTTTTACTTATAACTCTCTAAGCATTTGAGAAAAATCACTCACACAAGAATTTAATGTTTCCTTAATGGATTCCAAACAATTTGATGTATAATTTATTTTTGTGCGTTCAATTTAAAAATTTTCATTTTTTTAGCGTTGGATTGCACGGTTCCGGAGATTTACGCTTATCTTATTACATTAAACGAGCAATTCTTGTATATATATATATATATATTCATAGGGTCCTCGGAAACGACTCTAACGATTTTGATTATATTTTGTACACAGATAATGTTTTGGATTTTAACGTTATCTGAATAGGCATTATATCCGAGAAGACTCGTATAAGGTTGCCACCTATTCGAAATTAGTTACAAATTATTTAAAACGTCATAATATGGGTATCAAATGGAGGGTATTTAAAAGATCACTAATTCAAAACTATTTTTAATAGGGTTGCCACCTATTTTGAATCGAATATTTATTTAATTTATTGCTTGAAAAAATAGGTCAAATATTACTATTCATGGGTACCAAAAGAAGGTTCCTTATCAATGCTTTCCCTATATACAAAATGTTACCCCTTAGGATAATAGTGTAGAGTTGCCAGTTATTTTCATTTCTGCACAATTTATCTGAAACATCGCAATATGGATATCAAATTAAAGGTATTGTTGAGAACTTTGTTCCGAAAATATTTTTGATTAGGGTTGTTACGCTTCTATGTAATAAAAATTTTTATTTTGTTAATTTCAATCAACATTTTTTTTGTATGTATAACTATACAGCACATATACGCTCAGTATATGTACTATTCTTTCCAGCATATTTCGGAAAAGGGTTGTCACCTAAATTTTACACTAAGAAATTTGCTAAATAGATATCGAAAGCATTTTTTTTTTTTTTTCAAAATATTTTCTTAAAGCTCTCCGAATGACCAGTATTTGATATCCAGACCTTGAAAACTTTAAAAAACATATGCACTCCAGGCAAAGCTCGGTCCACCTGGTACTGTAGCTGTGAAGTGGACTTGAAAATTTAAATCTTTCGAAATATACGTTTGGACAGCGCCGGCAAAATGTTAGCACACAAAAATAATAAAAAAAAACCAGGACGCAAGCAAAAAATCGAATGCTGTACCAACAAACAGATGTAATTTACTAATGATTATTTTGCAATTAACTACAACTTTTACAATTGTCCTATTAAATAAAAAATAAAAATGTGAATGTTTGTTACTGAGTCGGTGTATGAGGATGTGTGGATGTCTATTGCTATTTCACGCTAGAATGGCTGGACGTATTTCTATGAAATATAAGATTTTTTTTAAGAGAGGTTCCACCTTTTCCAAAAGTTATAATCAATTAACTAATAGGTTAAAGAAAATATTGCAGTTGATTGTGAGGCCGTACGAGGTTCGACAGATCAACTAGTTAATAAATAAATATTGACTTTCGTGGTGAAGAAAGGTATACTTATAGTTTATACATATGTAGTTTGGCAAAGTAAGTAAAATATTAAATTAATTTTTATGAACTTCATTCTTGCTTTATTAAAGCTGTTAAAGTATGTATATAAGAAGGAAACTAGCGAAAAAAAAAGAACATATTTTCAACTCACACCTCACAATGAGTTTTGCCACACTTAACATCTTCATTGTTCAACCACAAATAACTACAAAGGGGATGATTTCTCCCTGGAGTGCTGAATTTTTCTTTGCTTGGAATATTTTCACGCAAACCAAAATATAATTTCTTTCTAACAAGTTTATCGTTTTTCCTTTAACTTCAATTCCCTTTCCTATTAAGTCGCATTTGTTATGTATTTTGCAAGTGGGAAAGATTCACCTTTTCTTCGGCAGGTAAATTTAAGCTTACAAATTCTACCTACCGTAACATTGTGAACGTTGCTCTGTAAGTTGCTTTTGCTGTTCTTGTAATAGCTGCTGTTGTGACTGCCGACTCTGTGATTTTGATTTCTTCGCACAATTATGTTGTTCTTGTGCATCCAATTCAGCACATGCCACGATTCCACTAGCACTACATCCACGTACAGGAAACGATACGTTGAATTGAAATCGTGTCGTAGTTTTTGCGCCAGCTGTTGTGCTCGGCACCAAGGCTGTGGTTAAAGCATCCACATCATTGCCCAATTTGCTACATCCGCTGCCACCACCTGGCGCTGTTGATGCGACACTGCCGAAAATCATGGCACGTTCATTTTTCATACCCACATACAGGGTGCGCGTAATAAGAATGTATGCAAAACTGAGTATCAGCAGGGGCAGCACTAGTAAAACCAAATCTAAGAATATATTATATGAACGTTCGTAGGCGAGGCTGTCGGCTGGCCATTGCTCGCGGCATTTTCGAAGGCCTAAGGAGAATCATAACAAGAAAAAAGATCATTAAAGATATAAAATAAATTTTTAACGTTATAATTCAACGCATAAAAAACAACATAACACACATAACACAAACGGCAATAACGCAAAATTTGCTTTATTTCACTTTTAAATAGGAAATAATACCAAAATCTGAGTTTTGCTTTATTTCCAACAAAGGTTCGAAATAAAACAAATTTTGCCTTATTTCTCATTGCTTATTTATACTATTTGTAAAAAAAAACAAGTAAGAAAGTCTAAGTTCGGGCGGAGCCGAACATTAAATACCCGGCGCAAGTATTAAATATATGATTTTCACCTTTCCGAAACCTACCGCTAGATGGTAAGCCGGGGCGTATCAATTTTGAGTAAATTAGCGTCCTTAAATTTCGAAATATTGCAGTTTCAAGCATTTTTGAAATTTACCGTTATATGAAAAGCGGCCGTAATTTTAGTCCGATTTCAGTAATTTTTAAAGTTTTGCTTTTATGTGGCAAGCACAATAACCATACCGAGTTTGGTACAAATTGCTAGAACTGTTAGCGAGATACATATATGTGATCACAAGTGGGCGGTGCCACGCCCATTATGCAAAATTTTATCATAAACATATTTCTTGGTAAATAATTATTGCAACCACCAATTTTGAATAAATTAGCTTTAATATTTACTGATTTATCGAAGATTTTGTATTTCTCGAAATTACCGTTATATGGGTGTGTGTGTTCAGCCATTTGGTATGCTGTACCAGGACCAACAACTGTGCCAAGTTTGGAAGAAATCGGGGGAGAGGTTGCCAAGATATACACATGTAACCATAAGTGGGCGTGGCTGCGCCCATTTTTCAAAAATTTATAATATTCTTATTTTTCGTCTAAAAATTATTGTAAATATCAATTTTGAGTGAATAATCTTCAGTAGTTACTAAAATATCGCAGTTTTCGTATTTCTGAAAATTACCGTTATATGGGAGGTAGGCGTGGTTATTGTCCGATTTCGCCCATTTTCAATACCATCCGTCCTACACCCAAAAGAAGTTCACGTACCAAGTTTCGTTAAGATATCTCAATTTTTACTCGAGTTATCGTGTGCACAGACGGACGGACGGACGGACGGACGGACAGACAGTCACCGCTTAATCGATTTCTCTTTTCATTCTGATCATTTATGTATACATTTGTCTATATCTATCTCGATTCGTTTTGCCTGTTACAAACAACCGTTATGTGAACAAAGTTATAATACCCTTGTGCACAAGTGCGCTCGGGTATAAAAAAAAAAAAACAGTTTACTGACAGAAGGAAAAAGAACTTTGTTTATTCCAAAAATACAATTAAACCAAGGCACATTGAACAGGTAATATCAGTATAGCAGCTGATTTAATTTTTTTCAAATTATTTGTTCTCGAAAATGTCAAATATTTTACATTTCTTCTCACAAAAATTCTAAATTGTTAAAATCTATTTGCATGTGAAACATTTTCCATACAAAACCATCGATTAAATAGCAGCTTTTGGAAAGCTCGCCCAACTCAGCAGCACAACCGCTTCGAGAAGCGAACCAATTTACTAAGAAAGAAAGTTGCAGCAATTTTCATTTTTTCAATTTAAATTTTTTACCTTTTTCGTATTTCGCATGGCACGCTTTGATGTAGAAGAAAAAAATCAGAACAGTTTTTGGCACCTTCGATACCAGAAGCAATAACAAAATACAGGCAAATGTTGTTTTTGCTCAAATGCTCTAAACCTGTTTGATATGCCTTGAATTAAACAAAAAATGTGATATATGATTCATATGAAGAAAGTAATATTCACAAAATATTTTTACACTTATGAAAAGTCTAACAAAATATAGGAAAAGCATCGTCTTTAAAAACTGTTCCGCATATTGGACATATCGCTTTTGTATGAATTTTTTCTGCATGCTTTTTAATATATGTTAAAAACATTGCTGGAAAACCTTAAAATGCATGCTTGAAACCATGTCGCAATAAACAGATGAAGTAATAAAACAGCTTTCTCGCTTTATTTTCTGACATTCGGCATTTTATAGGCAAATTTTCAAATAAAGCAGTGGCACCTGGTAAATTCCACTATGGGCGGAACGCAGCATGCAATAACACCATACACAATAATTCCCATTACTTGGACATTAATAGGCCTATTCTGCGCTGGTAATAAAAAGTTTGTAACCGGTAAATAAAGTTCCTGTCAATTTTTAAACCCTGTTCGCATTCTGTGTACTCTTGTAACCGGTAAATTTTATTACTATCTCATAAGCTTGTAACAAAGTATTGCCCCGTGAAATATGCAATGCCAGAATTTGCACAATTCGTCATAGCTGAATTGCGGGATGATTTAACTGCATTACCAACGTAGCTAGAATCGCGGTACCAAGAGCTGGTAACATTTTTTGGTAATACAATTTTCCGGTTACAAAATCTTCGGTAACGTGCAGAATAGACCTGTAAAAAGCAGTTTCAGAAGTGAACTAGTGTTATTTTATCATTTTTCCTTTTTCTAAACGGTTATAATGCCACCAGTATATAATTGCGAAAAAAGGGGAGGGGCGTGGGACGCGAGCGCGACGTCGAACGTGGCGCGGGGTGGCGCGGGGCGGCGCACGAAGCGCAAGTTTAAAATACATAGCTGCGACTTTTTTTTATGAAGGCGTTGCTCATTTTCTTCATTAAAAAAATCGTCGAACATACTTAGATAATATGGAAGAAAATTACCGACACCGTCAAAAATATGCCATACATCAACTGTAAATCACAGCTACTTTAAATTTGCACTTTATTAGACTAAAATTGAATGAGCTAAAAAACTGCAAAATATTAAGAGATAAAATTGAAACAGAAAGTTCGAAATTTTTAGGAAAGTTTGTCGATTTTTTGTTAATGTTGTTCAGAGATTAAACCTATTTTCATTTAGTGTTTGTTAAGGAATAAACTATATTTTTATACACAAATGATTCAAATTAAAACATAATAAATTAAATAGTCAAATTTAGTCAATATGTGAGTGTCGTAAAGTTATGATATTTTTAGAACATCTCTTTCTTAATTAACGATGACACTGTTTCTATATGAAGCTGATTTCGACATTTTGTTTTAATAAAATTTAGTATCGATAATATTCTTTCAAAACTTGCCGAGGAATGTGATATAATGGTTCGTTCAAAACCTTTTTTCAAAACTTATAAAGGCAAAAACGAGAAGGCGAAGACAAAAGGAGAATACAAAAATTTCCCGCAGTGAATTTTCAGATTTTTAAAACGGTATAGTAATTTAATTTTTTAAATTTAAATAAAGCATGAAGACCCCATGGAATAAACGAGTAGAAAAAAAATATATAACGATAAAACTGGCACATACATAAATATACGAAAGAATGCACTCAGGCGACGCCTCTAGCCATTGTGTGTCACAAATTTAAGTTATCGATGGAAAATTGTTTTTCTTTCCATGTTTAATGGATTTTTAAAAATCGCTGTAAACATGATTAAACCCCCTTTCTTCTGATATGCATATTTGTATACTTCGCATATAAAAATTTGAGAAAAACATTTAAACAGAAAAAGTACCTTTGTTTTATAAAAAAATATTTTACAAAAAAAAATTACTAACTGATTTTTAAAAAATTGATCTCGTTGTAAATGAAATCCAACCTTATTTCTTCTGACATGCGTATTTGTTTACTTTGTATATAAAATTCGAGAAAACACTTAAAAAGAAAAAATACCTTTGTTTTATAAAAAAAAATCGCAAAAAAGTTAATAACAATCAGTTGTAAGGGTGTTATAAATAAGTAATAGAGGACCGATCGGCATATGTTTGCAGAAACCTGTATGATTGATTATTAAATATCTTATAAAATATAATGATAGTGACTGTCTAATGGTGATTTCGTTCCTACCAAAAATGTCGCCTTTTGATTGCCACTTTCTCTTTTCGTGTTCGATTCTAAATTAAAGGCAAAGAATTTTGTGTTCGTTTCTCTAAACTTCACTCTTGTATGGCAAAAAAAGGCACATTCTCTGCCCTTTGAAGCTTTGTCAGGGGAGATCTTTGTCAGGGGAGATGGTTGCCCTGAAAATCAGTTGGTTGTTTAAAACGACTATATTATGAAATGCGTGAGCTAGACAAGAACAAGAAAGAAAAAACATGCCCTTTTGAAGGGTTATTTGTAACATCAAACACATTTTGCACCGGGAAAGGGCAACATTTTTTTGGAAGAACCGAAATCACCATCAATGTACGAGTTATGTCACAAAAGCTTCGGTCTGCACAACCAGTTGTATGGGGGCTTTAACGTATTGTTTCCCGATTTTGATGATTTTCACTGTGAGCTCTCTGTTGATCATAAATGAAAGGAGTGCAAAATTGCATGTCCTTATATGCTTAAGTGAAGGAGTTATAAATATCTCGAAAAATCAACGTAAAATGTTTCTCATACGCCACCGTGCTCCAAAACAGGGCACTTACGCACTAACAATTCTTAGCAAATTATTTGCTTTTATTTTCTGACACTTTTAATGCATAATTATAATCTAGTTAGACTAAACGCCAGATGTCTACATATAAATATATGCATACTTACCCTGACGGCTGGTAGGCATCAACTGACTAAATATTGCTATCGGAGTCATACACACAATACTGCCAAACCAAATGAAGCCGATGATTCGATAGGCATGATTTATTGTCTGCCATTGGCGGGAACTGAGCGGATGGCATATGGCGTAGTAGCGCTCGCAGGATATCGCCACCAAAGTCCATGAGGAGACAGCCACAGAAGCAGCTACAAATAAAGTGAAGCATAAAACAATGTAAAATTATTAATTTTTATAATAACACTTAAGCTTTTTTAATGCTGTTAACAAACTAATACGAGTAATAAATTTTGAATATGTTTTATAGAAAATACGTTGCAAATTGTCAAAAAACGTGTTTTTACAAAAAATTAAAATTTTATTGCAGATTTCGTTAGAATGCCCATACAGTAAACATTTTTATTCGGGAAATTTGTACTTAAGACGACAAACCCCTAGAAATGGGCGTGGTAGTTTTAAGACTAAAACTAACAAAATAAATAATTTTTGCCCATTTTGGCAGAATGTCATCCTTCGTTAATGCAATGTAATGTGCATAAAATATTTGATATTTTGAGCACATAGCTTTAAGTAAATTTTTTCTATATAAAACAGAGCTTTCAAGACCCAGTGTTCCTTGTTTTGTCGCACTTAATTTTTAAATAGTTAACTACCCTGCAGTGAAATCCCAAACTACACCCAGAAAAAGGTTTAGTTATAATAACCAAGTTTTGGTTATAGTGATCAAGTGGCATAGTTGGATATGGCGAAATAAATATATAGTTCACGAAAGTCTGCAATTTACTTAAGACTTCTAGTTGGGACAAATGTATATTTGTTAATAATTACAAAACGACTACCTTGATTGGACAATATTGTTAGTTGAATAAAATCATTGTTGAGCAAATATAAACAATGCTTTGGTTGATACAAGTTTTCAATTAATCTTGTGAACTTGCCGTAGACTTGAATCAGCTAACCGTTTATTATTGGGAAAAAAGTTTCAGTTTGACACAAATAAAAATTTACTCGATGTTTGTTGTGTTTACTTTCTTCTTTTATTTGCATATATTAAGCATAAAAATACGTACATATTTACATAAGTTAGTTACTAAAGTAAATAATACATATGTATATGGTGGTAAGAATTTCCTAAAAAACAACGATGAAACAGGAACAGTCGTGCGAAAACCCAGGTCAATATCTGCTGGAAGTATACTGCTTTGCTTTTTCCTTAGCTAAATAGACACTTTCAAATTATAATTCACATGAATTATATATCCACTGAAAAACCCCGGTTGGCATAAAACTTTATATTTTTAATTAAACTTTAAACTGTGCGCGCACCGAAACAACCCGCGATGATAGCAAAACTGAAACTGTGACAAACAAGTATGGGCATGTCATAGCACACATGGCGCAGCGATCGACATGCCATAGCTTACTGAGCGCTCTGGGACCACATGCGTGTTTCACCCATATACGAACAGCGGTAGCGGAGCAATGATTTCCACGCACAATGCAATGGTCGGCATACTAGCGCTTTCAAACGATTCAATAAGTGGGACTGTGTGCATTGCTCAGCTGGCGCTCTTCGTATGTGCTCAGAGAGCGCTCAGCATTCTTTAGGGGTGGCTCACAAGCATGAATATGTTCCACTCTCAAACCAAATCGTGGTTGCCTCAACTAAGATTTGGTAACTATGACTAAACCACGTGTTGAAAGAAAGCTTATCTGCATTAGCAGAGCTTAATAACATCCTTTTATGAACCATACGTTAAGTTGAATGGAATTTGTAGAAATATGCTTCAAAGAAATATTTATTAGTATTAACCAAACCCTTCAACTAAATTAACGATTTGTTACAACCTAGATGAATATTAGAAGCTTTAATATATTTAGTTATAATAACCAATCGATGGTAATAGTTCCCAATCCTTGGTAACAGTTCCCAAATATTGTCAAAATTCGGGAACTAAATATCTTTAGTTGTCGAAACTAATCCTTTTTCTCAGTGTAGTCAGGAAAAATACCAGTTTATAACTAGAATTTCCTGACAGAAACCGAACTAGTTCGAAAATGACCAGACTTATAAAGTACAAATTTAATAACTTAATAAAGTACAAATTTAATAACTTTTATTTGGGTACATAATGAACCATTATATCGAGTACATATTCAATTATACCAGACCTGTTAAATAATGATTAATATTCATAATGATTTTTAATTAAAGCATGTTTTTGTTTTGGATAACCGTTTAATGATTAAATACCGATATTACCACCTGATTAATAATTAATTACTTAAAGAATTTTAATTAGTTCATTAATTTTAATTACGTCATTATTTTGTTATTTTTGATAATTTTCAATTATTTTTGACTTTTTTAATTACACGATAAATGTAATTATTTGATTAATTTCTATTAAGCCAAACTATAGCCAAAAAGAAGAGTATTTAATAACTGCTTGAATTATTTATATATTTTATTCTTATCTAAATCTTCAATTTTAAACATAAATTATTATTTTTATAAATTTTTAAAAATAATAGACTGAAATGTCCAAAGTTATTGATTTAACTTATTTTAATGAAAGCTTTTATTTTTATTTTAGCTCACTCGAAAATGAACTAAAATACTCATTTTATTTTTAAATAAAATGTTTTCTTTTGCATATTCAATATTATTAAAAAAGATAAAATCATAAAATTTATTGTACCTGAAACCTTTTACTTTTAATAACATTTAATGAAAAATTCATTTAAATTTATGTTTGAAAATTTGTAATATTTATGTATTTATTTTTGCTTTTAATTAATACTCAAAAAATGTAATGCTAATTATTGGGAAATCTAAGGCTGCTAAATAAAAATGTGTAATGTATTAAAGTGTATCAAAAAAATCAAAATCAATAGTTCTTTATTGTATATTCATGAATTCATTTTATTTTTTGACTCCCAAAAAGGTGGTTTTGATCCACAATTGGACTAGTATTTTCTGTCTATTTTGAACTAGTATGATACTGGTATATTTCTGACCGAAATCTGACAGTTGCCATCTCGTAGGATATCCCCATGTTAAAAATACCAGCTGATTGTATAGAAAAAGATAGTTGGCTGACTAGTTGAGCATGCGGTTCATACTAGTTGTAAGGAAGTTTACAACTAGTTCATTTGACTACACGGTAATTTCCCTTTCCAAATGCATACATATACACATTGTTTACTGTAAACGCCGCACACGAATAAATCTTACACTTTGTTGGTTAACCAAATGCTCGTATATATTTAATTGCCGATATGCCTACAGAAATGCAGATACACAATGTTTACTCACTAATTTGCTATGTTTGTATGTTCAGAGCTTCCATTAGGGTCTGATTATGCATACTTCGCATAACTTCGCACAACCATTTGTACCAGTGCACTAAAAGTGTAACTTAAGAAAATGTGAAGCAAAATCTAAATTCAACAGATCGCTAAGTTTTTAAAAGTTCTGCTAATTTCTGGGTAATGGAATACATACAAAATACATACAAAGTACATACGAAATTACAGTTTGAAGTTTATGCGAAGTTGTGCGAAGTTATGCGAAGTATGCATAATCAGACCATTAGTGGGGCAGAAGACTGAAAAAGTGGCCAAATTTGTTAGTTGACTATTTAAACCAGAGGTGGGCAGCTTCGACAGAGAATTTTTGTAGTGTGCGTGCAATTGATCTCACTGTGTGCGTGCGAACAAGTCGTACGGTTGAATGAAGCTTTCGCTGCCTTCTAAAGCAAAGCGTGTATGTATACGCGAATATGCCCGCCGGGCAGGCGCCGTCCAGGACTGATTTGAACGTCAGAAAATTACAGAAAAAAAGTATTTCCATGGTACACCTTATTATCGAAAGTGTTAAAATCCGTGGTTTATTCAAAATTACCAGGTGTCCGAAAATTATAAAAAATACGAGAAGAAACGTATTTTGGATTTTTTTTTAGTTTAAACAGCTTTAAACGTATTAACAATTCAACGGATTTGCTCTGCTTTCTCCCATTCTCCTTGGTATATTCGTAGAAAGTTTCTGGAGAAAAAAATTAAAAAAACAGCGTTGCCAGATATATGAAAATTTCTAATTATTCAAAAACTCCACAGCATACTTGAATTTCTATAGTAAAACAAAAACCCTTATAAGGAATTAAAAAATATTTTGCAGTGGGGTTGCCATCTTTCTAACATAATACAATTACATTTATTAAAAAAAATAAATGCTTATTTAATATCACAATATGGGTGTTAAACGGTGGTTAACACTAACATGCCAATCTATCAACTAAGGCATTCATTTTTATTATTTAATTTATAATATTTAAAGAAATAAAAATAAGAATTCAATTGAGAAAATTTAAGTGAATGCATTTATGCCAAAGTTTTAAAAAATTATTCTAATTTGATTAAATTGATAAATACATATTTAGATTAGGAATTCATTCACAATTTAACCTGTTAATAGCCTGGAAATTGCTACAATTGCAGTATCCAAGGCCAGCCGCGAGGAGGTTACAAGAATAAAACATCCATTTTTTTATTTATATTTAGATATTTATTTTTGTATTTCTACATTTTTTTTTACTTTATTTTTTTAATAATAATTTAAATAGTTGGAGGAAGAAGAAACTCAAAAACTTAAAAAAAAAAACAAAAAAAAGCTTTCATTACTTCCAAAACAGTTTTAGTCATCAGCAATTAGATTACTCTTGTCAAAAGAGACAAAGCTAATTAATCTCTTCATTTTCAAGCTCTAGGCAGTCGAGCAATTGAAAAGTTTTATTAAATCCTGTGCAATCTTCATCATCGTTACAATCTTGTGGGAGAATACGTTATTGTGTATTGAGAAAACGTAAATTAGAAAGAGAAAACCTAAACTGATTATGAGAAGACGCAAACTTATAATGAGAAACTGTAAATTTAAAATCAGAATACGTAAATAAATAATGACAAGTATTCCTAGTTTGCCTTTATTCACCCCCTCTCTTGTGTTGCAGCGCAAGTACACCTGCGTGAAATGTTGTGTGCTACAAAGCTGTTGGCTTGCCGTCGTCAAACGTTTTCTCTCAATCATGCGTCACATGTAACAGATATACGGAGAGCCTTCTTCATGTAGATTTTAAATGAATACGGACCCATACATAAAACGGCCGACATACCATCAGAATGCTGGGCA